AGGAATGATTGATAATAACAACAGGAATGATTGAAAATAACAACAGGAATGATTGATAATAACAACAGGAATGATTGATAACAACAGGAATGATTGATTGATAATAACAACAGGAATGATTGAAAATAACAACAGGAATGATTGATTGATAATAACAACAAGAATGATTGATAACAACAGGAATGATTGGTTGAAAATAACAACAGGAATGATTGAAAATAACAACAGGAATGATTGATAACAACAACAGGAATGATTGATTGATAATGACAACAGGAATGAAGGGGCGATGAGATCTACCTGGCCACTTGCGGCGTTCATCTGTTGGGGTACGGGTGTGGCTGAGGCCATGGCGCTCATCTGTAGATGGCCGCCCGTGGACATGGTGCTCAGGTCAATGGGAGCGGCATTCAGGTTGGCAAACTGACCGATGGAAACACAAAGGAATGAATGATGTTTGTTTTACTGTTTGTTCAAGAATGAGTTTTACAGCACTTGCAACACAAACAGATAATAAAATTGCTGAGTGGGTGGTTGGCGGGTGCTCTGGTGTGGTTTGCTCCTTCTTTCCTCTTAAACATCTATCGTCCTTATCTCCCCTCCTTTTTTACGTTTGTTGTTACCCTCTTGTAACACCTCTAATCTTCGGCACTTATATGACCTTATTGTGTTGCAAGTGCCGTAAAACTCTTTACTAAACTAAACTAAAAATTGCTGAAGGGTACAAGTGTTACAAAAGAGAACCAAATACACTAAACAAGAAGGAGGAGTGAGGAGAGATAAAGACGATAGATATTTGATAAGAAAGAAACAGCAAACCCCACCAGAACATCCTCCAACCACCCTCTCCTGCGTAATCAGCGACTACACAAGAAAACAAAACCAATTACAATTATTTTACCGTTAATCATTTATTCCCACCAAACATTCCGGCAGCACAGTGCACGACTACGTCATGAGCCACTTTTCTAAAATTGCATACGGGTGTAACTTGCAAGACCGCTACATTGTATAGAGGTGAGTTTTCAAAATGACGTAGAGCAGAATGTTGCACCAAGCCATATATCGATTTCAGCTCACCTGTAGCGGAGCGGAGAAAGCCGGCGCCCCAAAATTGAGGCCACCGATTGACATGGGTGAGACGGCCGCGGCAGCTGCGAGAGTGGGGAAAGGGGTCATGCCCAGCCCGAGGCCCGCAGCCGCCGAGTGCGGGAGGCTTCCCAGTGGGAGGTGCAAGGGCAAGGGGGCGGGCCCTGGGGCGAAGACCAGCCCACTCGACTGCAGCGCCTGTAGGCTCTCCAGGGAAAGAGGGGCGGGGTTCGCCGGCAGAGCCATCTGTGTGTTGGGGACTAAATGGCCTTCTGGGCTGATTTTAAGGACAACTGTGGAAAGAAATGAGCATGGGTTTAGCTTAGTTTTAGTAGAGGTTTTACGGCGCTCGCAACTGCCTAAGGTCATATGAGCGCCAGAAGATTAGAGGTGTCACAAGAGAGTAACAAATATAGAAAAAGAAGAAGGGGAGATAAGGACGATAGATGTTTGATAGGAAAGAAGGAGCAAACCACACCAGAGCACCCGCCAACCACCCACGAGCATGGGTATAACAGCTCTATCAACCACTATTGGGTTAAATGCCCCTATCAACCATTAATTTAAATTCCCCTATCAATCACAATTGAGTTTAATGCCCTTTTCAACTACTATTAGGTTATTAAATTCCTACAAGTCATTAGGAAGCCTTTCCCCTGCATAGTCCCACAAGTTGTGTTGGAAATATGTACATGTAATGTAGAAGTTAGCATTTTCAACAGAAAAAAAGATAAGTTTCAAGCTACGAACATGCACCACCCACCAGAACGTAAAAAATAAAAAAGAATCAAGATTTGATATAATTAGAAGGACACAATAGCAGTACAAGCAGACAGATATTCACGACAAATGAGGAAAACAAGTAAAAACAAACAAACAAACAAACAAACAAACAAACAATAATAATGTAGTGTCTAGTAGGTAGACGAGCTGATTTCTACGAGATAAGAGGCGGGAATGAAACCTGCGCCCGCAGTAGGACTGGTCCAAATGGGTTGAGAGCCTTGAAAACTCCACAAACGAAACAACCCGAGGTCAAGAACGCCCTGTCTGGGATTTGAACAAGCGCCATCTGCTCTGTAGTCCACCACGACACTTACCAACTGAGCTGGCTAATGGGTACCAAGAGCGAGGGAATGACATCACCACGACACTTACTGACTGAGCTGACTAATGGGTACCAACAGCGAGGATATGACATCACCACGACACTTACTGAGCTGACTAATGGGTACCAACAGCGAGGATATGACATCACCACGACACTGACTGACTGAGCTGACTAATGGGTACCAACAGCGAGGGTATGACATCACCACGACACTTACTGACTGAGCTGACTAATGGGTACCAACAGCGAGGGTATGACATCACCACGACACTTACTGACTGAGCTGACTAATGGGTACCA